TGTCATGCTCTTCTGTCCATCTCATATATATATATATATGTATATATATATATATATATATATATATATATATATATATATATATATATATATATATATATATATATATATATATATATATATATATATATATATATATATATATATATATATATATATAGTAGCAAAAACTACTTTGATCCATTAATAAATCGTTTTCAGAAAACACGAATTTTAACGTTTTAGAAAGTTTTATAACGGTTCTCCAGGAAATCCCATCCATTGCGCATGCCTAGTATTAAATGTTTGTAGAAGTTGCCGTTGCAGTTTTCTTATCGCAATCTGTGACGTTCAATGACTCAAGTAGTTTTGATGCAAATAATACGACTTAAGACATGTATTATAGGTCATAAAATTTTTACTATATTTTCAATTTATTTTGTTCATAATTTTTCTATTGTAGCTGCAATTACCGCATTTTTTTGTTTTGAATATACACAAAAATCTTAGAAAAAAAAAATTAAATGTAATGAACAAGAAAGATTTATCTAATCAGCATTTTTATTTTGTTTCTTAACTAAAGAAACAAAATAAAGTATTAGTTAGTCTTTCTAACAGCGTAAACAATTACGTTTATATCTCTATAATAATTCCATAATCCACAATATTTAACTTGATTAAATACGATAACAGCGCAGCATTTTCATAACAAAACTCTTATGTTTAGCCTTCTATATTTCTTCTCTCTATAGCCCCAAAACATTTACGATTTTTTTTGTTTTTTAAACCTAAACGGATTTTTGAAACCCTGTTAGTAAGTTTCTCTCAATATACCGAATCAATTTAACATTTTGATCGAGAAAAGTTTCAATCATTGTATATTTTTTGTATGGTCAATCTAATATAAAAAGTGAAACATGAAACTACATTTCATTAAGTTATAGTACACAAATTGGAGAAGAAAAAAAAATACGGAGAAATAGTGTATTGCCATTTTGTTAATTATCATAATTTATACCTAAAACAGAGAAATATAACTCCCTTTTCCATGTTATGACACTTTGTCAGTAAAAAATTATATTTTAGCTCTTTTTGTTTTTGTATAAAAACATTTCTGATTTTTTCATTCTCCTGCATTATTACTTACGGTAAAGTTAAGCATTAATTAAAGGAAAATATAACTTTTTGAAAACGAATCATTTAGAAATGATTTTTATCTATACAATATGTAATAACCTTTAAGTTAACTGGAAAAGAATAATAATAATAATAATAATAATAATAATAATAATAATAATAATAGTAATAATAATAATAATAATAATAATAATGCACTTAATGTAGTTTAACTTTATGCTACTACAGTAGAGTCCTGATAACCCAAACCCTGGATAAGCCGGACTTTTACTAAGTCGGACAAATTTTCAATTCACCTTGAATTCTTGATACATATCGAAAACTTCGCTTAACTCGGACATTCGCTAAGTCGGACAAAATACATATACCCGTTCAGAGTTCGAGTTGACGAATTTCTTCCGTACTAAATTCGAAAACTAAGTTACGAAACAAAAACTTCAATATTTGGTTTAAGCTGATTGGAAAAAAAACGTGAAAGAGGTGAATTAATACAAATATACAAAATATCTTAATGACAAATAAAATAAACTTAAATAATAACGAAATTTATTCGTTATTTTTTCAACTTTGTAAACTCAAACTTTTAAACAATAAAAATGGAATTTTATTGGGTTAAAACTACAGAAAGGTATTTTGTATTCTTAAAATATTCAAAATTCTTACTATATATTTGCTTATATTCAAAAAGTAATAATGCCACCGCAATTTCAGGGCTTTAAGGTTGTTTCAATGAAAAACACTCGGTAATTTGAGCATGTTCATATTAGGCTAAAATGGTGTCTTTAAATAAAAGTCAAAAATAAATAAATTGACATCTAATTAAAATCTTTTGGTATGCTCATATAACTTAACATTACCCGAATCTACCGTATTCTTCAATTCCTAGAAAAACCTAACAATGTAAATAACGTAAAAAACGGTCAAAATAAAATTAATTAACATTAATTTCATTTGTAGTTTTTGAACTACCACAGCTTTTTGTTACATTATAAACTCTGTGACAAGTTTTCAATTAAACTTTTTATCTTAAAAGTAATTTTTTTTTCCCCAATTATTTGTATTTTATTAAATATTTTTAAAACCATAACTAGTACCTAAAAAATCATAATTGTACATAAAACTAAAATATAAAACTAGTATCTATACAAACTAAGTTGTACCTAAAACTAAAATATAAAGCTAGTATCTAAACAACCTAATAAACCTATATTGATATTTCAGACTGAACCTAAACTAAAACATATTTAGGTTATAATTGTTATATGTTCATGGCTACTAATTTTAGAAAAGTGTACATGTTTAAAATTATTTTAATTTTCTAAGAAAATGTTTCATTATGCGCTGTCATATATCATTTGCTTAAATATCGAAACTTTTTGTTTAAAGTTTGCACACTATTATGACTAGTTGGTTTTGCAAGACATTCCCATGATGCGTTGCAAGACATTCCAATATGCGTTTTAATTTATCAATAGTTCGCTGGCATTAATGATAATTGATCTATTAATGCATATGAATAAAACAGAATAACTGATAAGTCTGTAAATTTGTTAATAGATCTCACAGTACTAAATTTAACGATGAACGTCAAATCCACAAATAAGTTGTTCAGCACAAGTAATAAACATCATAAACAGTATTAAACGTTCAACAACAAGAACTGATGAAAGTTTTTATCCTAAAAGAAAATTTACTTAAAACCTGTTAGTTTTTTTTTTTTTCAAGTTTATATGTAGTTAATCAGAACAGGCAAGACGATCTTTATGAAATTTCTGCTTTAAAGTTAGTTATCAGCTTCATTTTAGTCACATGACAAACATACCTGTTTAGGGCTCCAGTTGAGACTTACTTTCAATCTTTGAGAGCCATGTGGAACAACTGGAACAATCGTCAACATTCTTTAGCTTAAACTTTTTGAAACAAAGATTATGCTATAGAGATTTTCTTGTCAGTTATAAAGAAAATTTTACTGGCGTTGGATAAGCATTATGTCATTAGGTCGAATAATTATAATGCAAACTAAACGTATTGAAAAGATATGGGAAAAATAAAATTAGCAAAATGGCAAATCAATAAATTTGATGAGGTACTAGACAGAAATTGAAAGCGGAGTGTTTTTTTTTCTTGGAATTGGATTGATTTAAGATGAAATTTTTTTTTTTTAAAAAAAACTTATGCTTTCTTGCAAAATTAGGTATTGAAAAACCATTCTATTTGTTCCAATCAATGATAATAATGTTCAGTTAAGTCAAAGTATTGCCATATATTTGCTATGTTCTTTCAAAACGGTTTACTTGCGGTTTATTTTTGTATATCTGATTTTGAAATTAATCACGCGTAAATGTCAGAAAAAATAACATAATTGATGTTTTAGTCCTAAGACAATAACTTTTCTGCTGTTTTAGCTTAATGATTTTTTAAAACAATGTTGATCTAGTCCTGTGCATCTTGCAATTTTTTCAAAAATTGTGCTTTTTGTAGTCCTGGTTCTTTGAAATTTCAAATTCCAACATACAAAACTGATCAGAATTTAAGAATGAAAAAATCTTTTACAAACTTTCATGCATCCCAGGTCGAAAAACAGTTTTGTTTTTTAAGGGTGACGGTATCTTTTTATTACCACCTCCAGGTAACATTATTTATGATGCAGTTATCTCCAATTTAACGGCATTCGACGATAATTGTATTTTTATTTAAGGAGAAGGGTAAATGTTTTGTGTGTGACATGTACTCAGTATTGCAATACAAAAGTAAAATACAAACACGGTCCAATGCCGGAAAGTTAGAACTATTTGTATCAGCTCTTTCAAAGCTTGGCTTTTTCATTGACACTCTATTTTTCTATTAATTTTTTTTTAAATCTATTAAAAACTGAGGGTCTCAGAAGAAAAGAGCCACGTGCCACTTGATTGTGCTTTTTGAGAAAAAAAGAAATAAGGAAATCTGATTTTGCGAGAGTCATAAAATATTTTAAATAATTTTTACACCAGGCACAATAATATATATATATATATATATATATATATATATATATATATATATATATATATATATATATATATATATATATATATATATATATATATATATATATATATATTCATTTTAATTAAATAAAAATTCAAACACTTAAAAAATATAACTTTTTCTTCTTTTCCCGGTTTGTTGAGTTTACCGGTAATAAAGAGTAGTAAACCGATAGTTTTCTTTATTAAATATTAAAGCATGCTTATTTATTATATCATGAATTTTATGACAATAAATAAATAAAGGTTTTAGGCTAATAATCTAAGTCAGTTCTCTATACAGTTTACATTTATTGAAGTATCTTACTACAGTGGTAGTCAGAATATTTTTTTACTAATAAAAAGTCGATTTGTTGCAAAAAAAAAATTATAAAATAAACTGGATACCTCTGTACTAACATGATTCAATCCATTATTCTTTGCAGACTAAAACAAACTATAAAATTCATAATAATGAATTTCTAAATATCCCACACTTAAAAAGGAAAAACTGTAAAAAATATTTATCTAATTAGGAGCCACTAACCGTAAAAAATTCCGTTAAAAAATATTTTAAAAAGTTAAGAAATCTAAGGAAAATCTTATTCCGCTAATGACGCATAGTGTGACGTTTAGGATCAAAACTACTTCATAGGAGGCGTGTGTACTTACTTAACTGGGCTCTCAATAATAATTTTGGATTAAACTTGTCTAAAATCGTTTGTTTTTGCGCATACTTAGCAGTGCAATAAATATAAAAGTTGACAGTATTTTTGTGCAAGTTTGAAAACAAAGAATTTATAAATAATATGTAAATCTAAAACAATTTATAAACATCCTTAAACTTTATTTACTAAATAAAATATACACCACTTCGTTATACATTTAAGGACATTTTTTAAGAAAAAAAGAAACTTGTATATATAGTGTTTTAATAATATGTACTTTGAATAAAAAGTATTCAAAACAACAAATATTTAAAAACATGACAAGCTTCTAAAAAAAATTCGAAGAATAATGCACCATGCTCCAAAACGCTAATACAAAAAAACGGTTCGATCTAAAAAATGTAAAAAAATAATTATCGATTTGATGATGAACCTAATTGTAACTTGTGAATGTTTTTAACGACAGAAAAGAGTAGCCTTAATAGAATCAAAAGAACATACTTGATTTTAGTGGTATTTGACATCGAAAGACATTGCTTTGCTTTTGGATATTTAGAACACAACAAAAACATGACGTCTCTGTAATGAAAATCAGAAGTAAGCTGAAATCACTAGATCAATCAATCACTAAAAATCAATATTAGTTATAAAATGAGTTTCAAAATGTTTATAAAAACTAAACTCTAAATGAATTTTTGAATAAAAATTATAAGTTTAATTAGAGATTATTTACAATAAAAAATACTTTAAATATTTTGCTTATTTTATGCACTACATAGATTATAAAAGAAAACCAAAACAAAAACAAAATTTATGCACAAGGGATAATTTAGTAATGCACAAGGGATAATTAAGTAATATATAAAGTATAATTAAGTAGTGAGTAAAGGGGACATACATGAAGTACGTACAAAAAATCATTAATTTAGGCCCCTTGGACTAACATGTTTTCACAAACATCCTCCTTTCCCCCTCTGCAAACGTACACTTTATTTATTACAAAATCATTCCTCCCACTTCCTAATCGCATAAAACTTTTAAAACATGAAAAACTTAAAACTTCATTTAGTTTGACAATAATCTATTATATAACATCATATTGATTTTTTTTAACAATTACTACATAATTTATAAAATAATTTAATCTTTAGTAATAACTAATAATAATAACTTAATCTTTAGTGCAGTAATTTTTTAGAAGTTAAAATTCTTTTGATTGTGAAATTATTTAAAAACATTTACGAATTTAAAAAATGTAAAATTTAAAAACATTTACGAATGTCGACAGATTATTTCCTGTGTGCGCCAACTTTTGTAAATAAACGAAATAACGACTTTCAGATAAGCCTTTATCAGTCGTTTTATTTTAAAAAACTATTTAAAAAGGGATAACTAACCATTTAAGAAGGTATAACTAACTAGTGAGTGAGGTGGTATTAACTAATTCAAGAAGTATTGTAATTTTAAAAAATAACTACATAAAATTATTTCCATGTTTAATGAATATTTAATGCAAAAAATTTAGTATTTTTTAATAAAATTCTTTTGGTAAAGAAAAAGAAAATTTAAAAGTTAAGTTTAAATCCTATATATATCTTTACCAAAAATAAATTCGAATTTCTAACTTGATTTTATTTATTCTTGATATCTGCAACCATGTAATATTGAACTGCTGCAAATATCGTGCAGCAACACACGTTGTATTTCTAATAACTTTTGTTTTTCGATTTACTTAAATCGCTTTTAGTGAATTAAAAAATTAAATTTTGTTCACTAAAATTTACTTTTTAGTAAATTTTAGTGAATAAAATACATTTTCAAAAACTTTTGCAAACAAAATAGAGCTTTTAGGCTAGCTTTGAAAAAGCTCAGGGCCACCGAGAGCTTTCATGACGTCCGAGGCAAAGCATACCTTCAAGGTGGCCCTATGTTTAAAAATTACTAAAAAATCAATTATTTAAATAATTTCATAAACTGAATTTTGGAAAAATATGACTTATGCAACACAAACACAACATAAATTTTAAAGGTATTCTTCAGAAATAGTAAAAGAAAACCGTCGAATTTATACACTCCATATTCTCGCTTTTTTACCTGAAATTTTTTATTACGCGATCATACGAAAAAATTTAGTCATTTTACTTTCAATTGATAGAATCATTAGATCCTAAAAATGTTCTTTTACTATAGTAGTCCTACTATCTACGGTACTCTGTTCTTGATCAACTTTAACTTACTAAAGGGTCATTCACCTTCTGCGACAATGTGTTAAGAATTTAAATAAGAATGCATGTAGATGGGAAAAATCTTTGAATGTATTTGGTTAACAAGGCTCATGAAGCTTCTAGGAGTAAAAAGCAAAGACGCCTTTAAACAATTAAGATGCATAATTTCTAATATAAAGTCTTTTTTTTTATATATCAGCGTAAAGTTGCGCTAGTTCACAAGCTTTTTATCTCTAAAGAATCTGGTCATGAATTTTTTAAACTGATGAATAAGAATTTTGAAATATCAATTTTTACAATGTTAAATCTTGATAGAATTCGCGAAACAACTAAATTTTTGCTTAAGGCTCTTTTTTGTAATTTTAAAAACTCAGTTTCAAAGCTGAGAGATATACTTGTCGATTCTTTCAAAATCTCCTTTCTAGCCGGACTGCAGCTAAAGAATACGCAAAGAACTTAAATGTTACCGAAAAAAATCTTGATCTCAGAGCAAGATTCTAAATAAAATAAAATAAAATAAAAATAGATTCTTTTACAAAACTGGAACTTGCACCCCAAAATACAGACTAGTCATATTTTTTACGTCAAAGTTTTTTTATAAATAAGTTATTATTAAACAAAGCTTTCAAATCAATTAAAATATTTATCACACGAGACATTCTTAATTACATAAAATGCATTTATATTTCCCATAAGTTATTGTTTTACGGGTAATAAAATGTTTACTAAAAGAAGTTTGCAAAGTAAAAATAACGGCTAAATATCGGTTTAATTTGTAAAATTATTTCAAAAAATGAAGTTAAAATTTCCAACCCGCATAGAATTTCAGTAATTGGCGGGGCCTTTGATCTATAATAATGTGTTTATCTAGTTATACATGCTTACTCGGACTCCATCAGAAAACCTCAGAATCAATTTTATTATTATCAGCAAAAATTGAAAACAAAACTTTCCAGTTAGTGTAATGACTTTTGGTGGACAGGGATGCTATGATAGGCTTTGATTTGATTATAATCAAATTGAGTATACTCAATTTTCTACAATTGTCTATGATTTTACTATTCCAGCAAAAAAGACATCAATCTACGACTAATATCCCAGTGGGCACCCGACGTCAATCCAACGTCGGATTTACGTACGATTTTCATCAGCAATGTCAAAAGACCTATTCCGACGTTGTTCCGATGTCAGTTAAATGACGTCGGGCGATGTCTTTATCTTAACATCCCCTGACGTCGTTTCGATGTTTTTTGACGTTGTTTCGACATCTTGTAAAAGACGTCCAAAAAACGTCGCAGTACTGACATCGATCCAACGTCGATAAAAAGACGTCGGGCAACGTCAAAATATTAACGTACTCCGATGTCTTTTGACGTCTTCCGACGTCAATCCAACGTCCTTAAAACGACGTCGGAATAACGTCGTAAGACATCGCTGATGAAAATTTAATCCAAACCCAACAATATGTGTGCAATTGCGCTCTTCAATAAATATGTGAACTAAGCGTGTTTTTTATTAATGGAAAGAAGTTTTAATAATGGTTGATAAAACATCATGAGGTTTTGTATGATGCAATAGCATAGTTTTTTAACTATTAACATTTTCGAGTATACATTTTTTATAATATATAACTATTCGTTTTAATATTTATATAATATTTAAACAAAATTATTTCTTATCAAAGAAATAATTCCCAAATAGCTAAAAGTATAAATTACTAAATAAACACATTATTTTAACATATCCCTGTGGTGTAGTGGCAAGTGTGTAGGATTTAGTTTCTAATAGACCGAGGTTCGATTCCTGCCTGAGGCAACGTTTTTTAGTTTTCAAAAAACACGTTGGATTTACATCATAATGTCGACGTCGCGCAATGTCAGTTTATACGACGTCAAATAACGTTTCCATTTCCAACGTAAACCCAACGTCGATCCGACGTCGAGATCCGACGTCGCTCGACGTTCGTTCGACGTCGAAATGCCCACTGGGATATGACTTTTGCACTCAAATACAGAGCAAGTAAAACAAAGTTAACTTATTGTTGAGTTCTAGACCAGAAAATGTCTTTATTTTTTATTTTTTTTTATTTCTTTTCATTTATTTAATATATTTAGCTCATTTAAATGCTATTTAAAATCACAACAAAAATCATAACAACGAGAGTTCAAATTTTGCGAAACTACTATTTATAAACATCTCTTTTTTTATGCGTTTGGCAACTAAGTTTTTGAATCCCTTCTTGTCAAGCAGCTTCAATTTATTTGGTAATTTATTGTTTAATTTATACTATTGCAAAGGATTAACTTTTGCCAACTTTTTTGTTTTGAACTTTTAAGTGATAGTTTGCTGTATTTCTTGTGCAATAATTATACATTTCACTGTTTTTCATAAAAAATTCTTGGAAGGCATCCATTTTATGTAGCTGAATTGTATTGTGTATAAAAGTCATTACTTTCACTTGAATATTTTCTTTTACAGATAGCCAGTCTAATCTAACCAACATGTCTTTACTATGTGTGAACCAGTCACATTTCAAGATTGTTCTCATAACTTTGTTTTGTAACTTCTGTAGTATATTTATATCATTTATTATTGCATCTATGATTAATGAAGCACAATATTCAAAATGAGATGCAATAATTGTATTAAAAATTAATTTTTTGTCCACCTTGACAGATATTTAGCGACTCTGGTAAAATACCTAGTAATCTTATCAATTTTATTTGCAATACATTTAATTAGTTCAGAATAATTCAAATAATTGTTAAACTATTTTAATACCCAGGTATTTGACAGATTCACTGAATTTAACTTTTTCATTTTCCAAAATGATATATACGTTAGGATATTTTACAGTGATACTCAAGTATTTCACTTTAAAGCTTGTAATCAACATACCCATCAACTTACTTGCATTCAGTTTCAGTCTATTTCCACTAAACCAAGTAGCAACAACTTTAAAGTCTAAATTTAATTTCATCATAGATTCTTCGCAATTATTACTTTCAATGCAAACAAATATGTCATCGGCAAAGAGATTGATGTTTATATATCTGGTGCAACTGTTATAATCATTCATGTATATTATGAATAACAGGGGTCCTAGCACTGACCCCTGAGGCACAGGGTAGTTCCATTGATAACTGATCGCCAGTTCTTACTCTTTGAGTTCCTGTTAAGTAATTTTCAATCCATTGTAGTACAACGCATCCCACTTTATAACACGTTTATTTTTCAAACAATACTTCCCTATTGATGATTTCAAATGCTCTCTTTAAGTCTAACATAACTGTGATAACAAACATATCATCATCAATTGCTGCCCTCCATTTTTAAATGAGTAATTGAACTGCTGTTTTAGTGGAGTAATTTTTTCTAAAACCACATTGATTTTCATTAAAAAGTTTATTTTCTTCAAAATAAGTAGACAACTGCATATGTGCACATAGTTCAAGTATTTTTTCATACACTGCTAACATATTTAGTGGTCTCATATCTTGTGGTAACTTTAGAGATGGGTGTTATAGTAGATCTTTTCTAAGTTTTATATACAAAACCTGTTCTTAAAGACAAATTAATTATTTTCATTAAATCTAAACTAATGACTGGGTAGAATTTTTTTTTGATTTGAACATTCATATCTTCACAAATACTCTTTTTGTCTTTTAAATCAATTACTATTTTGTCAAGTTGGTTTTTAGAAATTTCTCTGAATTCATTCATTCCATTCACATGATGAGGTATTTTTATGTGATCAGAAGTCACATATTTTATTATTGATTTTTCAAAATCGATAATACTCTGAATGAGAAATTAACTGTATTTATCATCAATGGATTTATATATTGAATCCTCAAACTTGACATGTTACCAAATATCAAATTGAGCTTTACATTTGGCTTTAGTTAAAGTTTTTAAAATATTCCATGTTACAGCACTATCGCCTTTAAGCATATCAATTTTAGTTTTATAATAGTGGGCTTTAATTTTTCTCAATAGGTAGGTTATGATATTTCAATTATATTCTTTTAACAGTGTCTCCATTGAGCAGAGTCAGCAAAGGAACCATTTTTTGAGAAGACACTGTTTTACTTTCTGTCCCGGGCAAATAAGTCAGGTAAAGGAGATAAG